TAATTAAGCTCTGTTATGTGCAGAGTTAGATGAAATTAAGATCTATGATAATGCAGGGCTTGGTGAAATTAAGGTCTGTTATGTGCAGAATTGAATGAAATTAAGATCTCTTGTCATCTGAGCTGTGGATGTCAATGTGAGCTCTTTCATTTGAGTTAAAGAATTGGTGTTCTGACTGGATATGGATGTAGTCTTTTCCAAATTTCACATAGAGCCTCTGCTTCTGGGCAGAGATATATTGTCGTACATAACAAAGTATATATAAATATATAAACAAATAAATAATAAATAAATAAAATAAAACTCTTCTTCATCATGCAAATATAAAGACAGAAAATTGAAAGACTATAATCAGCTGACCATCGTCCCATAATTCCAAAATGAGGATTTCTCTCTTTTCCCCATGTGCCTTGGGTGGGACCAGATATTTGCATGTGATTCCATTAGCCTGAATTTAAAATACAGATAAAAAAAATAGTTATTATAGATGGTTACCATTGCTACATCTAAGTAGCACCCATCTCCTCTACTTGCATATTATAGTAGTCAAAGGAGAACCTGACTTGTTAATTCCAGCTGTAATGAACAACTCACTGTGCTTGTGGATTATGGACATCTTATGATTCAGAGAATTACTTTACATCTACCACACATAGTTTTATTTAAGTAATCACTTTAGATTTCTGTACACTTTTCAGAGGAAATTGTAAACATGAAAACTAGGCTTCAAGTTTTCATTTTTTCTAGTTATAAAATCTTTTGTTTCTTTAGCTGGCCCTCTTAGTGATCTCATAAATATCTAGTTTTTATGACATGAGCCTATTAAGAGGTTCTGTGTCTAGCATATAGCTGTGTCATGGTGCTATTTTTTTAAAAAACTGTTATAGATATAGAAAAGAAAGTGATAGAAAAGAAATTGATAGAAAAGAAAGTGTAAGATTTGTTTGATGGATCTCAATTTTCTTTTGCATTTTTACTGCTATATAATAAATAAATTGATCTCTAATAACCTGTTATAAAATGAGCTTTCATGAAAATTTAGTATATTGAATTTAAATATAAAATCATTAACTATTTTAAAACTGTACCCTATTTTGAAATGAATTTATTTTTGTGATAATGAGTGATTTTATGTAAATGTCACCAGAGTAGTATTTTGAAATGGTATAAAATTAAATTGAATATCCTTTGCTTTGAATTAGTGATAATTTGAAAAAGTGTACTTTAAGGAAGATAGACTCTCAAAAGTGTTAGTAATCACATGTTTTACTAATGACATTATACCCAGAAAAATTATAATGAATAAAATCTCTCTTTTTAATTATCATATATGAGAATGAATATATATATATTTTTTGTCCATAAATTCTGTCACAGTAAAAAGCCAAGTGTTATATAAAATAAACAATTGAATCCTGCCATGATTCAAACATTTCTTTGGGAAGCAAGTGAGCATATGACATATCCATTATGTCAGCATTCACTTGTTTGAACAGCATAGCAAAATTAACTTGTAAGTATAACTTTAGACACAGTACATTGTTTCTTAACAGACTGCTGGAGAGCAGCACTTTGAGCTCAAATGTACTTTTTCTAATAAATACAAGGCCTAAGAGCCTTCAAGGTAGAGGGTTAGTGAATGGAGTTGTTGTAAGGGCATGAAAGGGTAAAGTAAGAAGTGTATATTATGAGGATATGTGGGATAGATAAGTGTTGATGCTAGACTTGGAAAGGTTAAGAGTCTAGTGATCAGGCAACCATCATTTTGGAAGCCTGTTCCACAAAATAATAGTTCTGGGGAAGAAATTTTTTGAGTGGAACTTCCTCCTTACCAATGGAATACGAATTGAATAAGGATGAGTCTCCTGTGTATGGGGCATGGTGAATCCTAGCTGTGAAGGTCTGGATTAAATCCTTAGCAGAGTGCACTTTGATCCTAGGAAGAGCATACAGATAATCTTATCCTAGGCAGAAGTTACAGAGGTTTCATATATAAATAATCCTATCCTATCAGTTTTTATGAGTATTAAGTTAATGGCTGACAATTACATGTTTTCAAGAACACATGCCTGCCAATGTTTTAATAGCAAAAGCAGTATGCTCAAACTCTTGGTCATAATGACATGTACTAGCACAACTGTTGATGGCTCAGCTCCTGAACAATTTCATCTACTCAATTTCACTCACAAGGCTTGGGTCAACATGTGCTATGATTTTCAAGCACTTTCCAAAGGTGCTGCATATTGGATGCACCTTCCCAGGCCAAAAACACCTAAAAGTCACTGCCTTGACAAATTAATCATAGTTCAGATTTGAACCCAGGTCTCATGGTCAAAAAGTAAACATTCTAACTCCTTGGCCATGTACCCATATAGGTATAATGTTACTCTCATGTGTAAGTATCAGTATTAATACTTCTAAGACAGATAACACAACTGTTATTCAATTTTAGCAAATAATAGCAAATTAAAAAAAAAAAGACTTATTTTAAATTACGATAGTTGCTTTATTTTTACATCCAGGATATTTGTATATCATAATCAGTGAATACCCTTAAAGACTATTTTTCATTGTATATTATAATTTATGCTTTGGTTTTTAATGTCCATATGATAAAATGGACTGAAGCAGCCGCTACAGCATAAAATAGAATTTCAAAGTTTAGAAAAAATTGAATTTGAATTGTGTATTCCATACTCATCTTTGTTCAGGTTAGTAAAGAAATCAAACAGATCTGCAAGCTTTGATTTTCAAATTCTAAGCTTTTTCAAACTCAACTACACTTTTTCAGAAAGGAGTAGAACTGAAAGATTCTTATTGAGTACAACATTTGTTCAGCATTTTTCCTTAGAAATTAGGAAGCTGGAGTTTATTTTCAGTGTATTGATACATTTTTAATTTCTGCAGCTGATTTGTGCTGAAAAGATGTTAAGTTAGTCAGTTTTCAGTTCTTGCTATAACTCAGAGATTGTCACATATGCAATTTAGACATGGTGTCTCTTATCTAGAGATGTATTTAAAAACATTGAAGTCTTTCATTGGAATATATATATATATATATATATATATATATATATATATATATATATATATATATTGATTAAAGTTTTATATATTTATAGAGGGGGAGTGTTCAATTATAGATAAAAACAATGTTAACATAACAATCAACACTGTGTGATGACTGTCAAATTTATGTCTCAATGCCATCTCAAGACTTTGGTCTGAAGATGGTATTGAGGTATAAAACTGACATTCACCGTGGACTGAAGATGGTTTGAAGATGATAGTGATGCAAGAAATTGAATGAGTCACCATACAGTGTTGATACCTGCACTGTCTCTCTCTCTCTCTCTCTCTCTCTCTCTCTCTCTCTATATATATATATATATATATATATATATATATATATATATATATATATATATATATATATATATATATATATTAGTAAAGAAATCAGACAGAAAGAAATATATGTATGTACATTGTCTTAAATTTGGTATATATTTATAAGGCAAGAGTGCTCAGTAATGGAGTTTTTCTAATGTTCTTACAATTTTACTGGGGAGGCTAAGAAAATGTAGAAACTCTCCATAATGATTATTGTTCAAAGTGCTTTTGGCCAATTCTTTAGCTATTTTCAAGGGAATCAACTGTTAATATGTTTTCCTGTGCTAGTGTACTAAGTTGGAAGTAATAGAAATTCTAAGCTATAATCTCATATAATAAAAATAATAATAATATATTGGTCTACCTTGTATTGAGCACTTTTTAAAAGTAAACGCTATGAACAGTGGATTTTTACTCCATCTTTTCTTTCTCTCATTTGTGTGTGTGTGCGTATATATATATATATATATATATATATATATATATATATATATATATCCATTTACACTTGCTTATATATATATATATGTATTAATAAATATACACATACCTACATTTGATTTACCTGACTCTATACTATATATATATATATCTTAAAAGTAATTATACATTTTTTCCTCACCAGTAGCACAACTCTATTACATAATTTTATATATATATATATATATATATATATATATATATATATGTATATATATAAATAAATTTAAACTATATTACATCATTTAAATTTATATATATATATATATATATATATATATATATATATATATATATATATATAGGAAAATTAATGGGCAGTTTTCAATCAGCACCTGTTGTGCATGAAACTCAGAGTTCTATTACTGGTGAGGAAAAATGTATATTTATTATAATATATAATTTATAACTCTGTTATTCTACATTGAACACTATTTTATTAACACCAGAACTCAATATATATATATATATATATATATATATATATATATATATATATATATATATATATATATATATATATATATATATGCTTGAAGGTAGGACTTTGAAATACTATCCAGTGATTAGTTAAACGTCAATTAGATGAATGCTGATTTTGGAATTTTTGTGTTTTCCACTTTTTGGCAAAGATTTATAACTTGTTATACAATTGGAATAATATTGTTGTTTATAATTGTCAGTTAAAGTGTTGAAAATAATATATCTTCTTCTATTTCTCTAAGACATAATGTATTTAACAAAAGCAAATTTATATCCTTTACTTTGCTGATAATGCTAAAGTATGTCAAGTAGTTACATATAAGAACAGAACAAAGAATAATTCTTTAGATGTATTTATTATAGCAGACAAGCATAAAACATAAACGTTTACTTGGCACTTTGTGTCTTTATACAAACACATACAAGACTATGCAATCTAGATGTTTTAAGTATATAAAGTTCTATAAAATTTTGCTTTTTGGAGTTGCATAATTACATTTATACAGTCAGCTTAGAAATTTTTAAATTGGATTAATGTGCTCATAAGCATAAAAAAAGATTAAGGGAGGCTGAAAAGTTAGTATTAAACAGAGTTATGCCCCTTGATCATCCCGAGCAGGGGAGCACGTACCAAGGTCGGAAGTATGGCTGGCAATGAGGTTAGTAATATTTTCAATCTTATCCCTGTATATTTTTATCTATATAGAATTTATATATCAGTTGTAGGTCTCGTAAGCTCAATGTTAAACTAGTCGTATAAAACAATAGTCATTGACAGACTTGTACTGACTCACAAAGACTGTTCGAAGCTAGCGAGATCCCCCATCATCAACCATCATAGCATTTTTTATTTACTAAGTCGATCACTGCAGTCTGGTACTCAGCAAACAGATTTAATGTCTTCAGATTCAATATACAAGGAACTTAGCAGCAGTCGATGCAGTAAATAGTTAATAAATATGAAGATTACAACTATCATGGAAAAAAGCAAGCATATTTTTCGCCATCATTTATCAGCTAAAGTACTTGAAAATAAGTCAATAACAGTCTGTCCCAGAATTCTTGTGCCATTGTTATTTACTTTTAAGGTTTTTAAACGTGACAAATTATGGGACATTATCGTCGTTTGTGTATGTGTAAGCAATAGAGGGAGGGAGTGTGAGGGAAAAGATGGATGCGTTGTGTTGTGACGTTGTTTTGGGGTGGCTTAATTTCAAAAGGCGGGGATCTTCTTTCATCTGGGGAATCGAAAAGGATTCGATTTTGTAAAAGAAAATTACTACTGACGTCCAAAAATAAATAAAATAAAATAGAAAAGCAACTAGAACTAGTAGACATTTAAAAGTACTGTAGACCTATTTATGAAGGAACAAGAACAATGTGCAATATCTGTGTGTATGTGTACTCTAGCTAGGTCACACACAAGTTGTAATTATTAATAATGATAATAATGGCTATTAATAGTTTCTTTTCTTTAACAACCATCGTCAATACTTGTGATGTTGATAATCTCTTTTTTTTTTTTATTTATTTTTAAGTAAGACTTACTTTGCGGTACCTTTTGCTTTGCACGAAGCAGTTGTTTCATCAGCAATGACATTTTTAAAAGGATTTATTTAAAAAAACTTATAAGATTTATTGCTTTCATTACTTTTTTTATTCACTGATTGCCAATGTATAATTTTTATTTACCTCAGTAGTCGTTAATTAAAGACGGTATTTGGTTATATATTTTTTTGGTAATATCTTTTTAGGGGTTCATTTATTTTTAAAGTCTGCGATCTTGATGTGTCATTTTTTTTAAAAAGAGAATAAAAACACTCTTGAAGAAAATGAAGCAGTGTTACTGTTTTAGTGTTATGACTGTTATGTCATTCAAGTTAAAGTGATTATTATTAAATAAATCTATATGTCGAGAGTCTAGACGATTTTTATTTCCGCATTTGCCAGAAATAGAAAGTTAGCTTGGGTTACCGAACCAGCTTCAGTTTAAAAATAATACAGAATAATTATTTGGGTTGATTGAGAAATAAGACACTAAGAAATACGAGGATTGCGTATTTAAATGTTTTTCTTACAAAAGACTTTTGACTTCCAAAAGACTCCCCCCTCCCCCGACCAAAACGAAAGAAAGAAAAGGCATTTTGGTTTCTGTCTAATTTGTCAAATCAAAACGAATTAATTCTTTATGGATGCTATCTTCAGTTACCAAAAATCAGTTACTGTTACTTGTAAAATAAATAAATAACTGGGAGACATTTCATTTAGCTTTTTTTTCTCGATTTTGTCCTGAATAAAATACAAAATAAAAAAAAATTAAAAAAAAGATCGATTTGGAATTCCATTTTTTTTTTTTTTGTTAATAATAAAAAATGATTACATTCTTCTTTCTTTTAAGACTAAACTAAAAAGGGAATCAAAACGTACTTATTAACATCGATGTTTTTCTGCCTATTTTTACTTTTTTTTTTAGTAACAGGACTTTTTAAAATTTTGTTCAGTAGAGCATTTTTATTATTTAAGTAAAAAAAATGTAAAAATCATATTTGTCATTTCTAGGCAATTTTTGTCTTTTTATTATTATTATTTTTTTTTTAATTAATTTTTATTAATAGTATTTTTCTCTGGGACATTTTTTCGTTTATTATTTATTATTCTCTGATAAAAAATCATTTCTCTATTTTCTTAGAAATTTAATGTTAAAAAAACAAATAATAAAATCAAGTTAAAAACTATTTCTTTAAATTGTCTTTATCTCGTTGGTCCTTATTTTCCAAAGTACATAGTCTTTTCTTACATCCCCCCTTTTTTTCCTTCCATTTTTTTTTTTTTAAAGAAATGTCAGTAATCAACGAATTACGTCGTACTTTACTCAAATAAAAATGGCAATGGCATTGTTGTTACTGTTATAGAAGAAACGATTGTTCTCGTTATTTTTCATTATAGTTTTTTTTGTGTGTGTGAAACTGCATTTCAATTAACGGTTAGTACAAGCATTTTAAGTTTAAAATTTTATTTATTTATTTTTTTAATTAAGATTTTGAAAAGGTATCAGGTCTTACTCTTCAATTTGACGTCTTTTTTTTCCTAAGTGTTTGAGGATTTTTATTTTCTCTTAGATGGCTTCTGATATTTCCCTTTTTATACATTTATTTTGTATTGTAAACAATACAAAAACAATAAGTTATTGATTCACATCCAATATTGAGTTAAAAAAAATGATACAAAAATAAAAAAAATGACATTTCCCCTCCTTCGTTTCCTTTCATTCTCTAAAAACAGCATCGATGTCCAGATTTTATTTTTTCACTTGTTAACCTTTGACTGGATCCATAAAAAATCCTCTGGCATTTTCTCTTGAAGGTTGATAACGAATGAGATTTTTCATTTTAATGTTATTGATTTTCAGAAACGAATTAGTTTTTTTTTTTGCCTTATTTTTTTCTCCCTTAAATTGTAAAAATATAAATAAATTTCATTTTGAATTTAAAAATTAAAAATATGTAAAAGAGTAAAACACCAATTTTTTTTTTGTTGTGTGTGTTATTATTTTTTAATTTTTTAGCTGTCAAAGATTGAAAATGAAAAATTATAATTGTCATTCAGTGACTTTTTTTTGATGCTAGCTAGAGATTCTTGTTAATTTTTAAATAAAACACAATTTAGATCAGTGATTATATAATTATATTTATGATTTTACTATTTAATTTCTATTATTTACTAAATATTGTTTAGTTTTGGGACAAGGCCACAAGTAGGGCACCCATTGAGCAATAAGGTGTGTTCTGTTCAGTTACTAAAGCCCTTAACTGGAACTCAGTAAGGGTCAACTAGACTTGCTTCAGTCAGTAATCATTCATTACATTATTTATTATTAATTACACTTACGACGATACGACAGGGCACCCTATTTTCTAACTTTTTTTCTGGATAGTTTTTAAAACCATATAAATAAAAGATTAATTCTGCTTTAAATTAATTTCATAAAAACATAAGGTTTTCAATTCATTAACAATTTAACTAAGAAAACTAAAAGTTAGTTTATGAAAAGAACGTGTCCCTCTAAGCAAGAAATAGTTTTTTTATTAAAAAAACAAAAAAGAACTAAGGTTTCAGAATGTGTTAAAAAGTTTCTTTTTTAATTAAAATTTCTGGTGGAGAGGGTACGGTCAGGTAAAAAATATGAAAATTTATAAGTTGGTAATTAATCAATTCTTCGTGTTTGTCAGGACAATGTCAAGAATATTTTTTTTATAAAAAATATCCAGAATATTTCTTATGTTATTCATAACACCGAAGATTGAAGAACATAAAAAATCGATTTTTATTTTTGCATTGATAAAAGATGCTCATAATTTGGTTGTGATTGTCAATATTTAACTAAAGTTGACAAGCAAATAATGCTTGTTTTGATTAGATCTGTATGCATTTATGAGGAAACTTACTACACGGTGTTTTTTAATATATAATAAATTAAATAGTGTAAAAAGGTCATGATACATATTGAAGATCGATGCTTTGCTCTTTAGGATCCAGAAGAATATTCTGTTTTCTTTCTTTGATATACATTTTCACATAAAAATAGGTGTTAAAATGTTATTTTAAATTTTACATATATGCCTCACCACCAAAAAAGAAAACAAAAAAAAAACAACAAAAAAAAAAAAACAATTGTTAAGGTTCAAAATGCATTTTAAAAAATTTCTTGAAAGTTTTATTTTAGTTTTAAAATTCGAAGTTGATAGATTAAATTATTATTTCCAATAAGCAAAATACTTTGCTGTTTCAAACCGAATTTAAATTGATATTGGAATGATTTCTGTTTTTTTTTTTTTTTATTATCAATAAAATCGCTAAAATAATTCATATTGACAAATCTGTCAACACAGCATAATTCTCTTTACTTTTTAAAATAAATCTTTTAAAAATTTAAATATACTTTTCTGAAACTTTATTTGAGCATGATGAACTGATTTAAAGTTTAATTAACCTGAATTATAACGAATATTACTTTCAGTTTAAAATATTGTAAAAAAGAATTTTTTAACATGGAGGTGAATGTTTATCTTTTGATATGTTTCATGAGCAGATATGATTGTTCAGGAAATATCATTGAAGATTCGTTGTTTATAAACAGTAATTTGGACATTGCCAACCAGACACTTTTCTGTAGCTGAGTGGTATAGCACGTCAGATCAGTACAATTCCTGTCCAAGAATGCTTATTTTCTACAAAATTTCTCGAACATTCAGGCCAGTAAATGTAGTTAATACTGTTTATTTAAAAAACAGAGCATCTACTTAAATAAATTGTATATGTTAAAATAACTTATAAACAGAGAATATATTAAATAATTGTTGGACTTAATCCATTTCATATATATATATATATATATATATATATAATATGTGTGTCTTTCTGAAAATTTTAGGGTGTAAATTCGATTTAAAAGCTTCACATTGAGTGAATTGATTGTGAAAGTAATTAACATTTCTTTGTTGATGTTGGTTTTGTTCTATTTGCAATAAACATTTTTACAATAATTTAAAAAGCATGAATCTTTGTTTAGAATAATACAAAACTCAACAAAATTTCACTTTGAAATTTTGAAGTAAGTAGCATTACGTTGGTTTATAACAAAAGATTTGTAAATTTTTGC